AAAAAAAATTTTCTCTCACACGCTCTCTGAATTTTCGGCAGAAATGCCCTTTTTTCACTGCACTCCATGGTGCAACCCACGTGAATTCTTTGGGCATTCAACACCATCACACAAAAGAACAATGCAATCCACATTCTTGTTCATATTGGACCCTTAAAATAAACAAGCATCGTGGAATGCATATTTCATTTCGGGGAAAAAATTCAATAGACAATTCAAATTGAGAAGGAATATACTGATGGGTGTCAGACACAGAAGGATCGCCTGTCAACGAGCATACTAACTTTCTTCCATCCCGAAGTTTAAGTTTCAGCCAAACATTTGCACAAATACGTGTTTATCACGTGGGTCGTTCCTTTACAACAATGGTTTTATGTAGAAAGAAACCTGGTGCCCACAATTCATCATCATCCACAGCATGACATTAGTGTTCAATACTGATGCTTCGCAGCCTCCACTTAGTTCTTGGCAAATGAAGTTTGCGACAATATTGTACAGTCATCCCAGAGATCACTTTCGTTCAACCGCCTAAATAACTACTGTTTGTTCTATCGATCGAACTGTGAACTTTGATTCGCGTGGATTGTGATTGTAACTCTGCATTGCCCAAAACTGATTTGCAACGCTAAACTAACAGGCGAAAATGCTGACTAATAAAGCAAAGTAGAGTTGTGGCTCGAAGCCTCACAACCAACCTGATAGTTCAGGTGCTTTATGTTTGCGTTTGTGTACACCTGCGCTGAAGTAATCTTCATATTGACGTGTCATAAGCACGACCGGATCATTTTCCGTACACGCTCCAGAAGAAATTCACAGGGGGCTTTCAGATGCGTGTGGGAGGAGAATTACCCGGCTTGCTCAAAGACAAATTATCTAGTCAACTTAAGATTAAACTTCTCGTTAAATGAAGGGAGAGTATGCATACTTAGATGTTGTTCAGGACCGCTGTTTCCAGGATACATCTTTAAAAATCCCTCTTTTGAAAATTTGTTTGTGCCCTTTTCGGCAGACAACGATGGGACGGAAAATAAGATGGTGAGAAATATATGCTGTGCACATGACTGGATACACAGATGTCTAGCTTCATACACGCTCAGGCTATGAGCATCCACAGCTTGGATCTTGCCAAACAGAAAGGTAAACGTTATTCTCGCTCCATAGCACCTAGGTCTACTTTGTTTTCGACCTGATTAGGAGCATGCCAAATGGACAGTGAAACGCTCACAACCCCCATCAACCTCAGGTTAGCACAGAAGATTTGATGACCACAAGCACTCAACCTAAACCAGGGCTACATGTCTGAACACAGCTGTGACTGTCACGAACAAGTCTTCCAAATATGAATGACTGAACGAGCTAGACTAACTTACTAAGTAACTTGAGTTGGTAAGGTCTGTATCTCTCGGAGATACATCTATGGAGGTAAGCCACTCCCGAAGAACCCCTGTCGGCCAAGCTACTGTATAAGTCCCCCTGAAAAAAGCCATCCTTCAGAAGAGGTAGAGAGCTTTCTCCCTCCACTATTCTCTTTGTGAGTAATGTGGTGCACTGAATCGAGATAAAAGCCAGTGCGAAGACTTAGACCACTTGTTAGCAGTGTACTTCACACGCTCCCTCACAAGCTGTCCAGATAACGTGCACTTTTGCCATGCAGTCCTCCATACATACAGAGGTACATCCAGCGTCTGGTTCAGTCAGTCGTTACAACCTTGTAACCTCTACTGTTTCCCACCGTACAGCCTGACAGCGTTTCTCTGATCAACAACCCATCACTACACGACACTAAACCAACGCTATATATGCTAAGACTAAGCAGTGACATTATCAAGTTTAAGAATCATGTTTCATAATATGGTTTGGCCCTGGTATGTAGAACAAGCGTGGAGTCATACCACGTGACTGCATTGCACAGACAGTTGCACTCTGTCACTATTAGGATAGCCAAACCAGAATAATATCAGCATATCTCTAACCTGATATGCCAGACTGCCAACACACACGAACCACCCCGAATAGATAAAATGGAATAGGTTCGAAAAATTTCACTTACTTGAAAATGGGAACGTGGACAAGGAGAAGCGGATGCAAAAATTCCCATAGATCTGGGCATTAGAGATTCACGGAACGCATCTTGCAACTTGATCAAAATGTGACCCAAAAATTCAAGACTTTTCAACTTAGCTCAGTAGTGGAGCTGGTCAAAGATTGTGCGTATCCGAAGTCGGTTGTTGCATGTGCTCGAATGGCGGAAGAATATATGCCTGATAGCGCTAGTGACTAAAGCTTCAGGCCCATTGCATCAGCTAGCATCTTTCGGAAATCTATCGGGTGAACCTGGGACTGTCAGTTAAAATTGAAAGTCATCTAGTGTGACAAGATGGTATTAGGACTTTAGTGGGACGCCCCCGTAGGATGAACTTCCAACTGGCTGCCCAAGTCATCGCGCGAGATTTCCACCCACCTCCATGTGAATACTATTGGTTGCCGGCTAGACTGATATAGGTAGCCTGAAGTTCTGAAGAGATGCGATCAGCAGAAAGTGTATCATTTTGTCATTGTCCTTCCCCATATTTCTTTCCTGAAAAAAAACGATCGGTGGGAATCCACTTCACGAAAAACCCCTTTCGCGTATACAAGAATGCCTTTTTGACGGTGGATATTTCCTACTCCTGAGCACAGAGGAAAGTTAATCATCAGCTTTGGTCTGGCTAAGATGGAACATTTAAAGCCTAGTGGATAATATGCCTCAGATATTCAGTGCTCTTGCAAATATAGAATGGTTTCAATATGATCAAACTCTAAAATGTTCATAAATTCATATTAATTAGTTTTCATTTACAAACGAGTTACATCTGCACTGTCTACACGGAGTCAAGAAAAAACACGAAATGTACATCTTGCCTACCTGGGATTCATTAAGTGCCGATTTATGAAACGTTGTTTCATCTTGATTTCCAAGCCTTAACAAAACACTCGGTTGGAAGGCTCGAACAGTTGCAAGTGTGTCGAAATATGGATGCAGCCATGTCAAGCTACCAGTTCGTGACAAGAACTAGTTTAGTGATGAATTGTTGTGATAATTTGACGTCTTTTGACATAATAGTTAAACCGCAGGCCTGTGTGTCGGTGAGCTGAACCACCTCTGCGTGGTGTCGAGGAGGTTGGGATTGATCTCATCTGACTGGAACTGTTCTTGGCATGATTTCGAATGAGACGTTTCTCTCTTTCCTCCCATATTCTCCTGTTACTCCTTCGCATCCATCGCTTGCATTCACTTTTTATGTTTGTGACCATGCTCTTCAAAAATAGATGACAATAGTAGTTAAACCGCAGGTCTGTGTGCCAAGTTACGCTTCCAAAGAAAGGTTTTCATATGGGGTTCTGAAGCCGTTCTTTTGTTTGTATATCGGTGAAGGGATGACGTAAATAGAATTAAATGACAAACCTGCAGATTTGTGAGAATATTCGGAGAGCTGAGCAATGCAGTTATCACTTCTGACCTTCCTCCTACAGCTTTTATGGGAATTAACTTATCTGAAGATTGTAAATAGTATCGCGGTGTCAGTTACTTACCCGAGTGAAATAATAAAATTTTTACTGTATTCCTGCTCACCGGTGATAGACGTCCATGAAGAAAGTTCATTAAATTTCAACTACTTTTGGGACAAAGTAATTTCTGTGTGATTTGGTTTAGTTTGGTTTAACTCTGTTCGTCCAAATTGTTAGCAGTCTGAGTAGCCTGAATACTATTGACTTTTGTGACGCGTCATGCGCCCGTGCGTCTGCTTAGAGCTTTGAAGATCAGCAGGAGTCGGTGGTGATAAAAGTGATGCACCAGGCCTTTCGTCCTGGTTGAAGCTCATCAGGTGAATGTACCAGAATCCTGTCGCTTGATGATCACGTACGAATCTCGTGTACGCCGTGTGCCGTTGAGTTCAATGTCCAATTGGTGCGAGGGGCATGATTGTGAGCTGGGGACCTGAACATCAGAACATCGAATCTTGTTACGTCTACCTGACGAGTCTCACGCTTTTCTTCCCTAAGAAACGCGTGGGGCGGTACTGGTTCAGGATTGGTTTCATCTGCTGCATGTTCAGAAAGCCTGAGAACTGAAAACTTTGCTCTAGTTATACCGTGTATGATCGGATAACTCAGCACGGCCAAACACCCATAAAATGAAGATTAATAGAGGAGAATGTCGGTAGCTCAGGTAGCGCAGATGGTCGTTGGCTTGTTCGCTGAGCTGGGCAAGTTGGTTGCAAACGTTTCATCACCAATCGAGGTGACATCATCAGTGCGTAGTTGTGCGTTGTGCACAACCACTAACCCACCGCTACGCACAACTACGCACTGATGATGTCACCTCGATTGGTGATGAAACGTTTGCAACCAACTTGCCCAGCTCAGCGAACAAGCCAACGACCATGAAGATTAATCATACAGCATGACGTATTATAGCTTATAATACATTTTATACATCATAACTATTGCAGCCGTCTCCGCCATATTTCAAAGCCGCCATGACAGTGTCGCTTTATTGCAAAAAATTTAGGTCACACTGTGTATTTAAGTAGTCTCGGCGAGAAATATGAGGTTTAAGCAGACAATACTCTGTCAACCGTCACAATCAGTCAGCATTGTTGACATTTCCAATCTTCCGTAAGAAAAGAGATAATATTGCCCTCGTTTTAGAAAGTAAAATCTTCAGGTTTATTCGCTCATATTAGGATATTTCCGCATTTCCGCACCCCACTGTTTTAAGCATGTATATCCAGGAATTCGCTGCGGTTAGTCGCCTCAGTCTGCGATTTCTCATGCACATGTATGCTTCACAGAATCATAGAGTTCATTTTCCTCTCCTTGCATCAGTTAGGTTAATCAAAGCCCAAGGCTATTTTTAGTTGCCCAGTCGAAGATTTGTCTTGAAACTGTCTTGATTTAGCTGCAGTGAGTTGAATGACCGCAAATTCTACACAAACTTTTTATCCGCTTCCACGCAGATGCACTTCAATCATTGCTTTGGGAGACAGATGACAATCGTTTCGGAGTTTCTGTATGTGTCTACTGAGGTCTTCTCAACCAACAATTGCATAATGTTGCAACTAAGTGTAAATATACTTTGAATTGCTCACCGTTTTGGCTCCCGATATCTTTGTTCTAGGTTTGAAAAACTACTGTTCTCTAAGAAAGCATTTTCTACAGTTGACTCCTCTTTGTGATTTACTTAAGCGACAATCTTCAGGCACGCCTGAGAAGATGAAATGAGATGTAAGCTCTGTTTTTCTAATCAATGAGCAGTCTGTTGTGGAGAGCTCCGACAACCAGTACTCAATAGCTGTGGTATGGTAAAACAGTAGTATGTTCAACTAGACGGGCTTTATGGAGCAATGCAGCAACACTAAAATAGCAGGTTTTTCAACTCATAAAAAGAAGTTACAGAGAAAAGATGGCACCATGTGACTTCAGGTCATAGGTTGCCCACACTTTGTCAATTATCTACCTTAGCAATCACCGACCAGCGGTTGATGTGGGTATGCACAACCTTCCTTACTCAAGAAGCAGCTTGTTCTCACATGGTGAGCACAAAATCACAGTGCGAACTTCGCAGTTATTTTGATCCTTGAGGTATCTTTACTTCCTATGAAACAAAACAAGACAAAAAATCCAGAAGTACTAATGCGCATGTAACAGCTCAAGAGAGTTGTGCTAACAGTCTTCCAGATCAAAGTGACGTTGAGCGGTGTGCTCAACTTGTGTCTACGCAGAACTTTGCGTCACACACTTTCTCTATAGGAAACAATAGCCACAAAAAACTAATGCATCTCTTGTAGCCATAGTTAGCGTCATATGCTCATCTTGTGAAGGTCATTTGTACGGTGCACTCTCCACAACACCGATGTTGAGCCCCACGTTAGCCTGCGTCAGCAAAGGTGAATCTACCAACCCACCCACCCCCCGATGTCTAATGAATACTCAAGGGTGCAACACATGACAGGCCTGAGTGCATTAGCAAAATCCATACTTCCATGGCATTTCAAACAGCTACCACATTGCAAGGAATATCAACGGCATTCGCGACGTCATTTCAGCAGATGGAGAAAATGAATCTACAAACTGAAAGCTTTCGGGTGCCTCGAGGTGCCTCAATGATAAAAGGAGGGTGGTAGGTCCTTGTGGCAGACAGGAACCTACCATGAGTGCTCTGGTCGGTCCAGCCTATATCTTCACTAAGCTGGCGTTATATCTGCTGATTCGTCAGTCTGTGATATCTGTTGCTGACCCGCTCCAGTGTCTAGTTGCCGGAAAAATGACTCACAGAAGGGAACACAACACAACAGTTATATTCCGAACAAGCGAGTGAGTGCGTGCGAGTGAAAAAGTTACAACGGCCCCGCGCCATTTAAAGAGCACTTTCTGACATTGATCCAGGCTGTCTGATAGGCGTTGGTGGACACTCATCAACATCGATTGTGCCTCTATGAAATGCCTGAGCACAGATCATATTCGGTCGTGCTTCTCTGGCGTGCATGGACACTCATCAGCTTTTGCTTTGACTGGCCTGGATGCTTGCCGGCTTTCCTGTTGAGATTTTGGTAGAGCGGTAGGTTTCGGGCATTCTGAGGTTACATTCAGGAGTCTGACCTTCCTGATAGCTGGCAATGTCGCAGCTATGTATCAAGTGGACGCTATGGATGGAAGTTCAGCTTTTCTTAGAGGGCAACTCCAATCAGTTTTTTTTTGGGGGGGGGGGAGTCGAATGCTCGTGGCCTGTTGAGGACAAGTTACCAGAGGAATCTTAGAAGCACGCAAGATTTACTCTATTGGGATGGGAAAAAAATCATTTCTGGACATGCTAGCTCTAACAAAAGGCATGGAGGACGGAGACAAGCAAGGATTTCATAGAAGGATGGAATGCGCACACCACAGACAGCAAACTTTTGTCACCGGACAAACCAATTGCGTTTTAAGCGTTCCTCTAAGCTCACCACTCAGCGCGCTCATGCCAACAATTCGGCAACTAGGAGAACATGTTCTGATGCTTCGAGTTCAGCACAAGAAAAGCTGTCGTATATGTCTGGATTAAAGACAGGATGGAATCGTAAGAAATCGTTCATTTTTCGAATTTTAAATGATATCTAATTATTGCGCTTTTTATCACTATGATTCTCTGTTGACCTAGAGACCTGAAGGGAAAATAACCACCTTTAAAAGGAGCATGTTGCCGAAATGCAACCTGTAAGGAAGGGAAGCTGTTTTTTAACAATAGAGAGCCCACTACCGCTTTCGTCGTTTTTGTGGCTCATCTGGTACATATAACCCCAGAATCTTCACCATCCCAAGTCCCTACTTGAAAACCAGCTTGCACATACCTTGTGATAAACCTTCATTCGCAAATTAGACTGACTTTGGTAGGAGTTCGCATTAATTTATGATACGCATAAAAAACAACGATTGCCATAAAGGAAACTACTCATAAGGTTGCTGAAAATTCTTCGACAGCCCACGACTGGTTTCGTCCTTCTTGGGGCTCATCAGGTAGGCGCAGTCCACGAGTTTCCGTCAACCTCATGTTCTACTTGAACCTAAATTGGACAGTTTTCGAGAGATACACTCTTTTGCGAATCAGTTGCCATATATGAGTCAGTCGGTCAAGTGCAATCCCTCTACCTCATTTTTAAAAGTCTCAAAAATTCCAGGGGCTGTGCTCCTCAGTTCCCTGAGATAATTTATTAAGCCAAGCGACCTATCGTGTCTTTCTTGTAGTTCACTTCATTTAGTGTAGCATTTTACTCCATCATCCCCCGAAAAGCTGCGAATCACTGAACAACAGGGGGTGCCAAGTTCACAATTGTCGTCCATATTTCGTGTTACAGCGCTGAGGCTGTGGCAGAGTGGTGGATATTTTAAAACTGAACATGATTAAGCGGTTCAGGNATCCCCCGAAAAGCTGCGAATCACTGAACAACAGGGGGTGCCAAGTTCACAATTGTCGTCCATATTTCGTGTTACAGCGCTGAGGCTGTGGCGGAGTGGTGGATATTTTAAAACTGAACATGATTAAGCGGTTCAGGCCGGTGTAAAATGTCCCGTCTTTGAAGTTCAGACGATGGTGTTTATGACAGGACGTGGCTAATCAAGCTTATAATACGATGCCGATGAAAAGAAGACTTCCATATGTGTCTACCAGTTGACCCGTTGTTCAAAACAACTTTCTGGGTCCCAATCAATCTCCTTACAGCTCATGCAGTTCTTTTCGCTCGTACATGTCTACCATAACTGTCGAGTAGCCTGCGTATGCCACAGTGAACAGACCAAGTACTTGGTATACATGAGTGATGAACACGGATTCTGACAAGGCACAGATGTAACGCCGAATTACACTACTGGTTACCGTTATTTGTATTGAAGGTCTGCTCGGTCCCCAAAATCCTGGTCGACTGGGACCACCGTTGTTATCGTGGTCATGCTAATCGAACGACGCCGTCCTTCGCCTTAGACACTATGGTATCCCAGCGTTTATTCGGGAGGTCCGTATAAAACTCAGCAAGCCTTAACCCTGTGATTGAACAGTCGACCAAGGGAGTTTGAAGTTTCACGTTTGCCGTTTGTTCTCCAGGAGGTGAAAAGGTTACTTTGGGCTCCTTTCACCAGCAAGGTTGGAACGGTTAAGACCAGTTATACTCATAAGTACCTGTTTGATCGGTAAACTTCAGAACTGTGTGTTACTATTTGTATACACCTGCAGAGATTGGCATAAATTGAGACAATTATATTTTTCCTCCCGAGTTCAGAGAGACCGGAAACAGTGCAAACGCTGACGAGCTTGGGAATAAACCTTAAGAGTAAAGCTTGTTAAGTGACGTGATGCAGACAGGTTAGAAACAACAAAATCACTAAATAAAAGTGAGCTGGACACTCGGATAGACGTCGTTTATAAACGGGTAGATGCAAAACAAAAATCCATAAACCTCGGTTGTGTAGTTTCAAAGCAACCGAATGTAACTGGGATAGGTTGTCAGATGCAGCCCAAAATATTTAGGTTTTATTAGTGATATACTCGAGATCTCCATGATACAGAGCCTTTTTAAACATCCTAGGAGGAACGTCAGAAGACTAGGGACATCATACTTCTTTTCGTTAAGCTACAAACATGTAGTTCAAAAACATCGGTTCCGATTATTCTCCATTCTCGAACTGAGGGTCTAATTGATTGCCTAAACTGGCTAGGCTCTCATCGTTCTTTGTTGGTCGCTCTATGAGTCATCGAGAGCTCACTTTTGGAACCGTTACACTGACCCGCTCCCCCAGAGAAGGTTAACCTTGAAAAAACGAGGTTGGTTAACAGGTTTAGACGTTTGTCGCAGCACCGAAGGATCACTGACCACACCTGCAGGCATGGCGAATAGGAATCGAGATGATTTCCTGATTTAGCCCGTGCAACGAAACTAGTGAGGAAATTTGACTTACCCGACTAACTTCATGGCATGGGCATAGCTAAAAACTCTCGAGATTTGTTGCGTGTTAGGGTGTGTTATCATTTGGGTTGCCTAGCTCACTGAACACGAACGTGATTAACATCCACATATGGTTCAATAAATTCATGCAACTTCCGTTGTTTAGGCCAGGCAGTGATCACCAAAACACGGTTAGCCGATCCAATCGTAACCAACTAAGCATACTCTGCCTACATAGGCCTGACGCTCCCATTTACGTTGAAGGTCTACGACGACCATAGTTCTAGTCACCATTTCCGTCTGCGACCACTTCTTGTTCTCTCCACTATCAGCCCCAGTCCGGTTTCATTACTTCCGCCAATGAAGCTAAGTGTTAAGGTCGCCGTTGTGTGCGTGTGCAACTCGCGTTGAAGCCACACAGGACTAGTATCGGAGGATGAACGGATGTGAATGTTGCCGCACGGTAGCACCAGGCGCAGACGCACACGCAGCACCAGGCTGCCTGCTTCCGCTCGCCTTCGTATCCAAACTGGATTTGCTGTCCACGTGTTCACCGGCGCGCTCACATACGGATGTGCTTCCGTCCGGTTGATGCACACCACATACACACGCACACCGAAACAGCAAAGCAAACATGCATGACATTGGCTGAAACAGATACACGGATGCACATACACACACACATACACTTGCAGCTCGTCAAAGCATTTCCGTTCCGTCCAACCAAAGGCCCCAACTTCCGTTCCGGTTTGCGCCGCCTCACCCTGTCTTCGCCCTCACCATTGTGTCGCCGTTACGCACCGGCATGTGTTGGATACGGCAGGAAAATCGGTGGGTGCAACAAAGTCGGAGTATTGGAGGCTCGAGCATTCTGCTCTAAACACGTTTATCCACGAGTCCGTCACTCAGGCTGTGTAAAACCGAGACAGAGTATCCACGCCGCTGAGCAGAAATAGCCCGCCGGCTGTACCAAGTGGATTGCCGGCTCGTTAAAAGAAGCAAGATATGGATGCAAACGTGACCGTCCCCGCTAAACGGCGCTGCCTTGATGCGCAAGACAACAAAGAAAGGGAGAGTCATCTTTACGACGACGTAGACCAATTGAAAAACGAGACGTGGATTAAGTGCAAAGGAACTAAGCGAGATTTGCTTACTCTCACTGTTGATGCATTAAACGAATCCGATTGTGTAACGGGGGATAAATCAGCAAACATTGAGAACTATCCGCAGGAAACTGTGAGTTCCAGGAAAGAAGAAATTGCTCAAGTGCTTTCGAGCCCGGAAACGAATGTAACGTTATCTAATCAAGAAGCCAATGAATCTGTAAGTCTTCGCTTTCACACTGGTATACATTTTTCCGGCGTGGTCATTTGAGGGTTGCGACCGTGTCACACGGCGCCGGCCGCAGTTTAGAATCCCGATGTTCACGCATGTCAGTTGTTCATCCAACACAATAAAATAAAACCATCTGTCATCAACATTGCACCACCAGCTATCCACTGGAATCAGTTCTATGTTCCGGACTAAAGTAGAACGGAGAAGCCAGATTCTGGGTGTTCACCGGTTTATTCCTATTTTCCTCGGGTGATTTTCTATGGTTTGGTTGTTCGGACATCCTCCTCGAGTTTGTAGGACGATAGAGAAGTTAATTTGCTTTCAGAATTCGGACGGATGGCCACTTATAAATATCGGAGTAACCTGAGTAGAAAGGTTTGGGGTCGAGTCGTTTCAAATTGCATTAGCGACACATGCTAAAGTCTCTACACAAGGCTGTCGTCTATAAAACCTACAAGGCAATGCGTAGTTATATAGCACATTTCTGGATCCCATTTTATCATTTCTTCTGGGCGACATCAAAGAGTTTGTCGCGACTGCTTCCCCTCCTTCCTGAGCCGTTGCCGACGGCTAAAAATTTCCTACTCATCGGGGACTCTATAAAGCCTGAGTTGTTGTGCGTTGCCTTGGTCAGTCTCTAGTCTCAGTATCTTGTCAACCCGTTGTGAAATGCGAACGCATCGATCGAAGCCAATTAAGAATTTACTCTTGTGTCAAACAAAATTGGGGCGCGTATTTCTGGGACTGTCGAATGTCAAATCTAGGCTAAGGAAAATGGCATTTTCTTCGTGCTTTTACGTCTTTGAGACAAAATTTTACACTTCCTTCCTTGACGGAGATCTCTCATCTTTGAGAGCTTCTTCGTCGAGGAAACAGTAGACGGAAGTTTTCCTGAGAGTTTGCTACATGTCGTCTGAATGCGATAACTGAGGCGGTGTTTCATCTCACCTAGCGTCCGACCTTGGAAAAGCAAAAAGAACAACTGAAAAAGTGTGATAATAGTCTGGCCGATATTTTTGTGACATAAACATTGCAGTAGTAAACCACTGCGGCCAACGACGTATCGTGTGCCGATTTTTCACCAGTCAGTTTATCGTAAGATGGTGGATGATTACTCATGTTTGATAGATTATGCTGGTTAGACCATGTACTCCTTATAATAAAACCATCTGTCATCAACATTGCACCACCAGCTATCCACTGGAATCAGTTCTATGTTCCGGACTAAAGTAGAACGGAGAAGCCAGATTCTGGGTGTTCACCGGTTTATTCCTATTTTCCTCGGGTGATTTTCTATGGTTTGGTTGTTCGGACATCCTCCTCGAGTTTGTAGGACGATAGAGAAGTTAATTTGCTTTCAGAATTCGGACGGATGGCCACATATAAATATCGGAGTAACCTGAGTAGAAAGGTTTGGGGTCGAGTCGTTTCAAATTGCATTAGCGACACATGCTAAAGTCTCTACACAAGGCTGTCGTCTATAAAACCTACAAGGCAATGCGTAGTTATATAGCACATTTCTGGATCCCATTTTATCATTTCTTCTGGGCGACATCAAAGAGTTTGTCGCGACTGCTTCCCCTCCTTCCTGAGCCGTTGCCGACGGCTAAAAATTTCCTACTCATCGGGGACTCTATAAAGCCTGAGTTGTTGTGCGTTGCCTTGGTCAGTCTCTAGTCTCAGTATCTTGTCAACCCGTTGTGAAATGCGAACGCATCGATCGAAGCCAATTAAGAATTTACTCTTGTGTCAAACAAAATTGGGGCGCGTATTTCTGGGACTGTCGAATGTCAAATCTAGGCTAAGGAAAATGGCATTTTCTTCGTGCTTTTACGTCTTTGAGACAAAATTTTACACTTCCTTCCTTGACGGAGATCTCTCATCTTTGAGAGCTTCTTCGTCGAGGAAACAGTAGACGGAAGTTTTCCTGAGAGTTTGCTACATGTCGTCTGAATGCGATAACTGAGGCGGTGTTTCATCTCACCTAGCGTCCGACCTTGGAAAAGCAAAAAGAACAACTGAAAAAGTGTGATAATAGTCTGGCCGATATTTTTGTGACATAAACATTGCAGTAGTAAACCACTGCGGCCAACGACGTATCGTGTGCCGATTTTTCACCAGTCAGTTTATCGTAAGATGGTGGATGATTACTCATGTTTGATAGATTATGCTGGTTAGACCATGTACTCCTTATTTATGCCAAAGGACGGCCTGTCTCTCTCTCTCTCTCTCACACACACACACATACACACCTGTTTTCGCCCAAACCTGCACTGATTAGGAATAACCAAGAGGTAGGCGCTTTATGACCTGACAACGAAGTACGAAAACATTGATTAGTGAACTCATTCATGTCCATAGTGGATGTGGATCCCGGGGCTCAACTCACCAATGGTCGCACATCAGAGCCATTGCTTTCAATTCGCAGCTTCCCAGTTTCTCCTACTAGCTGATCATACCATCACCTGGAACGGTTGGCTTTGTCTCCTACGCTCTCCCATTTTCCGATGACCGAAACTGTAGCACCTGTGAGCAACTTAGCCTTGGCACATGGTGTACAGCTGGTAAACTCAACTAAATTGAAAACACAACACTGAGTAGCCAGCGGACAACAAAAATCAAGGACAAGTAAGTTAAGATGCATGCACAAGAGTTAAATGAGTCGGACCAACAATCAGTAGCTGGTGCTATTAAAATCTGGGGCCCCCATTCCTTTTCCCTTGGACATGAAAAACTATCCCTTGAGGTAAATCTTCCAGGTTGACAACCCCAAGTTTGGATCGCTAGTTGCTATTCGACTATCGCAATAAACTGTGTGGACGTAATACACTGCTCGCAAGGTTGCTGAAAACATCTCGACAACCCACGACCGGTTTCACCCTCCTTGTGGCTCATCAGGTAGGAGCGATTCCCGAGTTTCCGTCAACTTTAACATCATAAACCAGCTATTCAAATGGGATTCTGGTGAGTGTCTCGTGGAAATCAAATTGGTATGCAAATGAGTGTATCTGCCGAAATCTGTCCTATTTAGGTTCAAGTAGAACATAAGTTTGACGGATAACCGCATAATCGCGCATAACCAATGAGCCCCAAGATAGAAGAAGCCTGTCGTGCGGTGTCAAAGAGTTTTCAGAAACCTTATGAGAAGTATGTTTCCTCGATACTGTTTTATTTACAAACTGCCTGAGTAATGCTAGCGTAAATCGGCTCATGATAAATTGGGTCGGCGACAAACTGGCCTGCGATCAATCTTGTCACGGAGAATCGACTGTTCGTTAGCTGATATACACGTACAAAGTGGAGCAAGGGGACTGTAGGGAACTTCGTACCTGTGTTGGTCAGTCGACTGAGTGGCTCATATGAGTGATAAGGTTAGTTTTAATGGACACAACATGCGGGACAATGCATTTGTTCATCGAAAGAAACTGAGCGTACTTCCTGCGTGTACACTGTTTGAAAAGAATATGCTGAGTCATGGAGACCTCATAATCAGATACATTTTTAATACTATTCGAAAGGCAGTATAATGCTTGACTTTACTGCCGTCTTGATCGGCTAAGGTGTGGCGCTTAACTTTCGAGTGCTTCCTATATA